CTTGGTGAATGGTCCACATGAACTTGAGAAGAATGAGTATTCTGCTGTTATTGGATGAAGTAGTCAATAGATGTCAATTATATTTCGGTTGATTGATGATGCTATTGAGTTCAATTATGTACTTACTGATTTTCTACTTGCTGAATGTATCCATTTCTGATTAAGGAGTGTTGAGATCTCCAACTATAATAGCAAATTCATCTATTTCTCTTTGCAGTTCTATCAGTTTTTGTCTTACATTTACTCTTTTGTTAGGTGCATATACATTAAGAATTGATATGTCTTCTTGAAGAATTGACTTCCTTATAATTATGTAATGCCTCTCTCTTTCCCTGATAATTTTCTTTGCCCTGAAGTCTTCTCTGTCTGAAATTAATATACTCTCCCATTCTCCTTTGATTGGTGTTAGCATGTTATATCTTTCTCCACTCATTTACTATGTGTCTTTACATTTAAAGTTGGTTTCTTGTAGACGACATGTAGTTGAGTGTTGTTTTTTGATCCACTCTGAGAATCTCTCTCTTTTAATTAGTGTATTTAGACCATTGATATTTAAAGTGATTATTTATATAGTTGGATTAGTATCTACCCTATTTGTTACTGTTTTTTATTTGTTGCCCTTTTTTTGGTTCCTATTTTTGTCTTCCACTCTTTTTCTGCCTTTTGTGATTTTAATTGGGCATTTTATATGATTAATTTTCTCTCCTTTGTTAACATAACAATTATATGGGTATTTCTTTTTTGCTTTTTTAGTGCTTACCCTAGAGTTTGCAATATCCATTTATGACTAATGTAAGTCCACTTTCAAATAACATTGTACCACTTCATAGGTAGTATGAGTACCTTATAATTGTAATTCATCTTTTCCATCCCTTGTATGACTGCAATTAATTATTTTGCTTATGCATAGGCATATATATACATACACACACACAAGCACACATGATCAAATATGTTGTTGGTGTTATTATTTTGAGCAAACTCTTATCTGTTAGATCAATTAAGAATAAATCCTACCTCAGTGGGAGGAGGGTCAAAGAATTATGGACCATATTTTTAAAACACCTCAGTCTACTGTCTGGACATAAATTATTTACCTTTCCCCACTTGCAAGATTCCCCATCAAAAGTCTCATTCCTTTATAGCATCAAGCTCAAGGTCCAGGGTCTCATCATCTAAATCAGGTGCAGGTGTACATGAGGCCTCTTAGGAGCAGTCTCTCGGGTATTACCTCCTTCAGTGTGGTTCTTAATCCAAAGACTTGTGAACTAAAGAAACAAGTTGTTTGCTCCCCACATACCCAACAAACAATGGTGGGACAGGCATATAGATACTTCAGTTCAAAAGGGAGAAAAACGGAGGCACACAGCAGTCAGTGGTCTATAGGAATTCTGAAATCCAGCTGGGCATATGTTGCCAAATCCTTAATTAGGTCCAGTATTATTTTGGGGGAGTTGTTTTCTATGGCTCTTGGTTTTGTCCTCTGAATAATCCTTCCTTTTCCATAAGAAAACTGAAATTACCTTCTCAGTCTTCTTCCTGCCTGTAAAAAAAAAATTAGGTGTCCTAAGGATTCTTTCCATTTTGTACCATCTCTGTTCCTTTTAGTACAATCTGGCAAGCTTCTGCCAGAAGATTGTCTTAGAAATTTGAGGGGTTTTCTCCAAATACTGTCAGGAGTGACTTCATTAAACAAAGCCACAACCACAAATCTCTTGAACTTAAGCCTTTCTCTACTTTGGGCTTCCTGTGTAGCTGCTGTGGGACAATACCCTTAACATTCTTAAAAATCCTGCTGTTTAAGAGAAAGAATCTGCAAGGCTTACCCTTAAGATTCTTAGACAGCCTTTTGGTCAGAAAGAGGCTATGAGGCATAGTCTTAGATCTTTCTAACATAATTAAGGATTTTATTGTCTTATTCTGGAGTTGATTTTTGGCACTTTCTTAATTGCTTGCTTCTGAAGAGACTGGAAATGAGATGCAGTTTTATTTGTGAACTCTGCAAGTCTTGTGTATACGTGTACATTTTTTAAAGCTCATCTCTCATCTTGGATTTTATCATCAGTAGTGAGAAGCCAGGTGGCACTTTTATGACTTTGTCTGAAAAACTTCTTAGCCACTTCATTGAGTTCATCAGGTCCATTTCCTATTTCCATGTTATTGTAGGCAATAGTCTTGTCAAAATTTCAATCACTTCCTAGTAAGTGTCTTCTGTCCTCTGTCTTCCAATAATATTTTTCTCACTTATCTTTAAAGCCTCATGAATAGCCTCCTCCAGGACCTTTAGGCTTCCATTAAAACTCTCCTCAAGGCTCTTTCAGTTTCACTGACACTGTTTTTGTGGCCCTCTGTGCTTTCTGTGGCCCAGTTCCAAAGCCAATGCCATGTGTATTAGGCTTTTGTTACTGCAGCACTCCATTTCTGGTATCAGAATCTGTTTCAGTAATCTTTCACTGTGTAATAAACCACCATGAAACTTCATGGTTTAAAACAATGATGTGGGCAGGGCTGGGTGGAGACTGCTTGTTTCTCTTCCATGCCGTGTCAGGTAGGGTGACTTGACTAGGAGTGGAGGATCCACCACATGGCTGACAAGTTGGTTCTGGCTGTTGGTTTCTCTTCACATAGACCTCTCCACAGTGTGTCTTTGCTTCCTCACATATTGTAGTTGGGATTCAAGAATGAGTGTCCCAAGAAACAGGAAGTGGAAACTACCAGTTTCTTAATCTCTGGGCCTAGAAACTGGTACAATGTCATTTCCACCATATTCTATTGGTCAAGTGTGACAGAGATCAATGGGAGGGATAGCTAAGAATTTTGGGGTCATGTTTTAAAACTGACAGTCTTCTCAAGGTTTTATAGTTTTGCCTTTATATTTCACCGTTTAATCCATGTAGAATTTATTTTTAATAATCACCAGACTAGTTATATTTTTTCCTTTTTGTGTGTTTTAATTTAGGTAAGCGTTACGTTCGTGAAATGTACAGACCTTAAGTGCACAACTTGATGAATTTTTAATGAATGTAACGACCCATGTAACCACAACCCCAATCAAGATATGACATTTCTGCCACCCCCAGAAGTTCCCTCAAATTGAACTTACACATTTAACTCTGTTCTTTCCTAAAACTCACTAAAATGAGCCAGATATCAAGAGAGGAGACAACATTAAGGGCTCAGCGTTTTCTTGACTCCCCACCTTCTACCCTGACTTCCACCTTTATTCTAATTTTTATCACCATAGAGGAGATTTTCCTGTTCTTCAGCATAATATAAATGAATGGTATATGTGCTCTTTTGCATCTGGTTTCTTTCACTCAAAATAATGTTTTGAGAAGCACCCATGTTGTTGTGTCTATCAATAGTTGATTCTTTTTTACTTCTAATTGGTATTCCATTAAATGAATATACCACAATTTGTATATCTAGTCTCTTGTTGATGGACATTTGGGTTTGCTCTTGTTTGGGATTAGTGGACACTCGTATAAGTAACTTTTCAAAGATACTTGTTTTCATTTATTTTTTAGTTGTGGCAGCAGAAGACTCACATTACCAGACATGGAAATACTAATCATTTCTTAACAGACTTCAACCATTTCTTCTTTTATTAGATGTACCTTCACACCCATGACCAGAGGCACTTCTTCTGCCAATTCTTAGGCCTTTTGTGAATTCTAAGATGAAACAGCCTGTTTTTTCATCATTCTCCACTCCTGCTTTAGGAGATGTAGCTTTCTGAGGTCTGCTAAGTCAGTTGCTATTTTCCAGCTTCCAAAATTTTATTGTTGTCTCCTCTCTTGTTATCTGGCTCATTTTAGTGAGTTGTAGAAGAGAACAGGGCTAAATGTAATATGTTCAATTTGTCTTGTTTACTCTTTTCTTCCTGTCACCTTCTACATCCCACCTCCAAGCTTTCTATTTTCCATTTTCTTCTCTCCATATTTCTTCTCCCTAGATTTAGAATTATAAAGGCAGACAGTCTTCAGAGACATCTGGCTTAGCCCCCTCATTTTACAAACGGTGAACCTGAGACCCAAAGAGGACAGTAGTCCATCCACAGCCCACACAGCTACCATTATTATCTTTTTTGCTTTTAATAACAAAAGAGATTTTTGCCCTCCTACTTTTTCAGTTAGTGAGCCACAACAGTGCAAGAAAGAAGAGTACCCCCTACTTAAATGGGAGGGAGCCTGGAAGGCAGGTCAGGGGAGGAAGTGTCATTGCTGACCAGGCTGCCGTGGATCCTCTCCAGAGACCAAGGAAACAACTCTGTTTAGGACTGCCTCGTTCTCCTGTGCCCACTCTATGACTTCCCCACCACGGTGCCAGGTGGAGGGCAGCAATGAGGAGAGAGCTCAGCTGTCTTGGCAGAAGAAACTACTGAAACAAACAAATGTATAGATGGGACTCTCAGGTCCTTTTCAGTTTTTTTCTTTATTTCAATTTTTTTTTACTACTTTCTTTGGGCCTAAGTGTTGATGTAGAAGATAACAAAGGGACTCTAAGGCCTGGAACTGAAAGCAAGGCAACTGACCAGTGGTATAACCATTCTAAGTCCACTGCCAAACATACACACACACGAGAACACTCTTGCTAATATTGCCATGGCCCCACAGCTCCTAACACATATAAGGTGAGAGGTACAAAGAATATGTGAGGCAACCAAGTACAGAAAATGAAAGTACGTACATCTGGGAAGTCGTTTAGATTTTCTCTTCAGCGCACAGAAGACAAAGTGCAAATTCTATGCCTTGACTTTTGGTCTGGGCTGTTCTCCCAACAGGCTGTGTTCCCCAAGCCTTTGGTCATGCAGTTTGGGCTGGCAGCTGCTGGGCTCAGCCCCCACCGTCTAACCCCCACCAAATATTTCACCAGCTAGCTGCTGGGAATCCTACTAAGGACCACAGCCCAGGGTGTAAAAGATGAAAGAGAGCACTGTTCTCCCTAACATCTCTACCCTGGAGACTCTTTAAGCTTTTTTGATTCTTTGTCTCCTGTAGTTTGTATCTACTTGAACAAGAACGGCAGCACAGGCCCCCACTTAGATAAGAAGAAGGTCCAGCAACTCCCTGACCATTTTGGGCCTGCCCGTGCCTCTGTGGTGTTGCAACAAGCTGTCCAGGCTTGCATCGACTGTGCTTATTACCAGAAAACTGTCTTCAGCTTCCTCAAACAAGGCCATGGTGGTGAGGTTATCTCAGGTAAGCACCCTTGGGCTGTTATGGCCTCCTAGCCAGAGGGGCAGGCCTTCTCAACTGGCTGATTTCTGACAAGACTTCCTGTTTTCTGCTTCACACCTATAGGCTCTGGAGAAATATGAAGGTATTCCATTCCTCAGAGTCCTCATTTCCAACTCCTAGAGCCCCTCTGAGCCTTATGCATACCTCTGCCATAGAGAACACCCATGCAGACTCTGCTTAACTGAGCCTCTAAACAGATTCCTCTCCTGTCTATCTGCTTAATCTTTTCCATACAGAAAATATATGAGTGTGTTGCTTTAAAGGCATCTCCAAAGAAAGAATCCAGAGAGGGCTATGTTGTGGCAACAGGAGAGTTTCTCCAGAATACCACAGTCTCCCACCTGTCAAAATCATTCCTTTGACTCCTTAGCTTCCAGTCCTAAGCCCAGCCCAATACAAGGGAATTGAATCACAGGGAAGAGTAGTAAGAGTCATTCCCTCTTTCTTTCCTGCTATGAGAGTTTGATTCAACAGCAGTGTTTTCTGCTCTCACTGAGAATATTCACTTTTTCTGCTGTGCCTTGCTTTTGTTTCAGTTTTCCTAAGTCTAAAACCCTATTCTTTACCCACCAAACCTATGAAGACTTGACCTAGAGCCTTTCAGACTTAACAGTAATGCTGTGCCATAATCACCTGCCCCTCCTCCCTAATAAGTTGCAATAACCAACTGACATGGAAAACCCCATAAATAACCAAACTATTCTTTTTTTTTTGGCAGCTGGCTGGTATGGGGATACAAACCCTGACCTTGGTGTTATAACACTGTGCTCTAAACAACTGAGCTACCTGGCCAGCCAACCAAACTATTCTTTTAGCAAACATTTATTGAGCCCTTACTGTATGTCACAGATTATTGCCACACACACTGGCCAGGAGAGGGAGAGAACAGAAGATGACAGGCTCGGGTTCTGCACCAGTGGAAAAGAAAGAATAGAAACAACTCTAAGAAGTGTTATAATAGAGAAGTGCATACAGGGTGGTATGGGAGCCCAAACTAGGGAGTAATTGGCTGCGTGGAGGATGGGGGAAGACAGGAAGAGAATTATCATAGAACACTGGGAACTGCCTGGGAAGTTAAGCCTTATGTCCCTTCTGAGGCCCAGGATACTCACTGGTCTCTCCTTTTCCTCTGCGCAGCAGTCTGCAGGGACCTGGTCTTCTTTACTGCCTCTCTTTAGCAGCTATCATCTATATCCCCTCTAGAGTTCTTCCTCTGCCCCAAAATTGGTTCCTGAGAGTGACCTGTTTCCCCAAATCTCCATTTCCTTGCTACCCTCAGAGACAAATACACAGGCCTTTTGTTTTTTAGGGATTATACTGATTTTTTTTTTAATAAAAATAGATAGGAAGTAAAATAAAACCAAGTATGAAATAGTTCTAAGTGTTGCTGAAGTTCTAGTGCCCTTATGTAGGTTGGAAATTGCGTGTCCAAACCACTGCTGGCAGTGGCGATACTCTGCTGCCCAGCTCCTCTGTTCTTAGGCACTTCTTGTGAAAATAGCACCCTAAATGAACAGATATCCTGGAGGAGGCCCAGCCAAGTGATGGAGCTGATAGACTTATGTTCACAGTTGTTTTCACAAGTTGGATGAAATCATTCCAGAGCCCTGGGTGCCACAGACCTGGCCTGGCCACTCCCATTATTGCAAGGCCTTTGGAGTTGGAGACAAAAATCAAAGCCCTCAGGGGAGGGAGGAAAGGGAGGGAGGGAGGAAACCTGGGACACAGATTGCCTGTGTGTAACCAGGTAAATCTGAGACAAGCAGTGGGCTGGCCTCCTCCTGCCCAGGGCTGCAGCACACTGCACTGTCAGGCTGATGTGCTTGGCCCTGTTTACTTAACTCCACAGCCGTGTTTGACCTGGAACAGCACACCCTCAACCTCCCAGCAGTCAGTAGCATCACCCACGTCCTCCGCTTCCTGGAGAAACTCTGCCACAACCTTCGTAGTGACAATCTGTTTGGCAACCAGCCCTTTACACAGACTCAATTTTCACTCACTGCCACAGAGTACAGCCACAGCCACGACAGGTACCTACCAGGTAGGAGCTGAGATGGGGTCTGGGCTTAGAGGGGGGGCAGGGCAAGCAACTTAGACCTGCAAGCCTGGCACCTACTATCCAGAGATCTGGTTTTCTGTTACCTTTGCCACATTTGGGACTTTTTTTATTTCCTTTCATCTTTATTCTCTCTTCAGGATTTTGTCTTCTATCTCTAGGATTTCCCTTCTTTCCTCTGGATCCTTATCCCTAGAAAAAGGTGGTTCATGATTCCCCTTCTGAGCTCCAAACTGCATGTGGGGCCACTGTGAAGTCCCAGTACACCTCCCAGTGTGAATCTGGCAGCAAAGCCCTAACATAAATCTCCCTTGCCAGCAGGAAGGTTTAGTTTCAGGCTACAGATTGAGAAATTTGCTCCCTGGTGATTGGTCATCCATTCTTTCTGTTGGCATGTGGCCCTAATTCTTCTAGCACTGCCAGTCTAGCAAGTCAATTCAAGTTCCTGCTGTTTCTACCTAAGCTGGAAAATAACTTTCTTAGTTAACATACCAGACCCACAGTGAGAAAGTGGATGCCACGTGGCCGGATCAGTGACAAAGCACTTCCGAGAGAGGTTAAAGAGTGAATGGAACTCAGCATCTCTAATCTGGAGCCCAGGACACAGAACAAGAGGGAGGGAAGGAAAGCTCGGCCCAAACATAGCGAGGTAGGTCATTGTTGAGAGAGGAAGGAAAGGTACTTTAAAAGAGTACGGCAGATTGTGTCCTGAGCAGAGGAGTGGAGAGGGTGTGCTATCGGTGTGGGGTCTGTGCTGTCTGTTGTTGGGAGAGCACATCTGAAAGGTGCCCCATTCTGATCTTCTACACAAGTCTTGTTCCCATACTGCCTTCTCTGTTGTCTTTTCATCATAGTCTCAACAGAATCACTTCTGATAAAAGTGCTAGTTCTAGAGAATGTGCTCAGGGAAGTGACCACTCACCCACTCTCCTTCCCCCCACCCCCATTTCTACTTCTGCACCCAAGTGAGCATTGCTTATATGATATGTAAGCAGGGCAAAAAGATACCTGATTTTCAAATACTCCTTGTGGGGACCCCAGACCCTCTGGTCCCTGCAGCCATATCTGTGACCTTCTGGTTGATCCTTTTCTTCAGCAGTAACTTCTTACTGAACCTGCACTAGATTGTTTTCTTTCAGCATCAGAATCAATGAAAACAGAAAAAGGCATCCTTACTTGCAGTTAGATTGTTGCAGTGAGAGTCTGGACTGGGCCTGATGGAGTTGGTACAGTCAAAGGCAAGTTGTTAAATATTCCCAGCTTTGACATCCAAAACTGATCTGCATTTAGGTAATGGAAGTTAGGCCTACCCAGGATTCTCAAAGAATGGATACGTGAGAAGGGTAGTGTGCACATGAGTGTAGCTGCGAGAAAGAGATTTCTCAAAGAAATAGAACTCAGAATTCTTAAATGGCATACTGTCACTAAGAACTGAGAGAAACCTACTGGTAGCAGAATTCAGAGACTGGTAGCATTGTTCATTGTGAGTCTGCAGTCAGGAAGATCTTTTGGGATTGGGGCATGACCTTTCCTGCGAATTCAGTTCCAATTTACATCCCTCTGATTCAACTACCAGATAAGAGGAAGCAAGCTTTAACCAGACCCTTCTTGCCTCACCTACAAAGAAAAAGACAAGGACTAGGGGCATCACATTCCACCAACAGCTGCCACCTTTTACCCTTCCCCCATTTTCAGATAGATTGAGCCAACTCTTTGCACCCCACTGTGCTCTCTAAGCTCTTTATCTCGTAATGAGTGCTCAGCAACTTGTCTGCTCGCACCCTCATTTCTCTTTGCTTCCCGAAATGAGTGTTTTAACTATGCCCAGGCAAGCCAGAGCCTTGTCTAAACTTTTTCTCCTCTGTGCTTCTTAGATTTTCTTTTCTGCCTGCCTCCTTACTTACCCACCTGCCTTACTGACCCTTTGCCCCACCTCCGATCATTTGTCATTTGCTGCATTTTTTGATTACTTACCCATACCTCTGTGCTCCATTTTTTGATTACTTACCCAAACCTCTATCAGAAAGCTTGATCTAGGTCATCTAGTGAGATCCAGAGCCATGACTGATACACAGGCCTCCTGAGTTTCAGCCCAGAGTTTTCTGTTTTGCTGCCTCTTGTTCCATTCAAAGAGGTACCTGGGAGCTAGCACCCTGGCAGTTCTTCCAAACTAGTCCCTGCTCTAACCCTGATTTTACTGATTTCCAGGTGAAACCTTTGTCCTGGGGAATAGTCTGGCCCGGTCCGTGGAGCCACACTCAGACACAATGGACTCCACTTTGAATCCCACCAACCTTGTTAGCACCTCCCAAAATCTTCGAGCTCCTGGGTACCGGCCCTTGCTTCCATCCTGTGGCCTCCCACCAAACACGGCCTCAGCTGTGCGCAGGCTGTGCTCCAGGGGTAAGCTTTCCAGAGTTCTGGACCTCCAGCCCTCCCTCACTCTTTCCTTCCCTTCTTTCCTGAGTTCTAGGAGGCCAGTCAAGACCTAGCTCCATTGCCCCCTGCCTAGTGGTAGGACTGGGGGCTAGGCTTACTGTTGTGCCTGCCTAGGCACCTTGGAGGTAATTGGAGCTCTGGGATTGGCTTGAGAATGATAGAAACTAAGATCCAAAGTACTACAGATGAAAGGGAAGGATTCATTCATTTATCCATTAGGCATTTATTCGAATGCCATCAGTGTTTAGCATGTGGCTACAAAAATCAATCACTTTTTATCCTCAATGTCTTGCAGGAGAGACACTTAAACAGATATTATAAAACAAAGTCTTGAGTGCAATGACAGAGATATGCTGTTAGTAGAATGAAAACTGGAAGAAGGGACATCTAACCCAAGTTTGGTGTTAAAGGGAAGCTTCTTTAGGAAGTGACACCTTGTCTGAGACTGTATGAATGGCCATATCAGGAGTGGTAGAGGAGGAAGAGCTTTCCAAGAAGAGAGGACAATGTGAACAAGAGCAATGGGATAAGAAATAGTACAGATTGTACTGCATGCAGTTTGGTATTGCTAAAGCATAAAACATAATACTGGGACTTCAAAGAGAAAAGCATGGAAAGGTCAGGACTTATATCATAGAAGAGATTAAGTAGCATGCTGAAGAGTTTGGAGTTGATTTTGTAGGCCATGTGAAGCTACCAAAGACTTTTAATTAGAGGCAAGCCATAAACCGATTTGTGTTTTGAATAGATCATTGACTACTGTGTTGAGCATGGATTTGAGGAGGGACAAAACTAGAGAGACCACTTAGGAGGTTACTAGAGTGGGCCAGACCAGAAGTGATAAAGGCCTGGATTTAGGGCAGTGGTTAGAAGGTTTGGAGAAGAGAGAATGGATTTTAAAACAATTCACAAGGTAAATTTAGTCAGATTTGAGGATTGTGAGGAAGGAGGGAGTTGGGAATGTCTCCCAGGTTTCTAGATGTGGTGGCTGGATAGATGGTGGTGCCATTCACTAAGAGAGAAAACCAACCCTGGAAGAGAAGGGGAGGGAGCCCATGGGTCTTCTAGGTGACATTTAGCAGGCAGTGGTTTTACAGGTCTGATTCTCAGGGAAGAGTACTGAGCTAAAGTTAAATATTTAAAAGTCATCAGCATATAGATAATAGTTGAAACTGTAGGGTGGATGATACCCACTTCCCAGAAGAATGTGTAGAATTGAAAAGAACAGTTTACCAAAGATAGAGTCCTGGGAACCAACAGAGTTCAAGAGGTGGGAACAGGAAGAAGAGCCTGTACCAGGGAGACAAAGGAGCATTTAAAGGAGGAGAAACAGAATTTGATATTGTGGTGGCCAGAGGTGTGGAGAGTATTTTAAGGACAGCACAGCACAACAAAGTTCCATAAAATAGGGACTGAGAAATACATTTATTGGATTTGCAATTAGTAGGTAATTGGTGATCTTAGCAAGAGCAGCTTCGGTGGTGGCAGAGGTTGGCAAGAGAAGATTGCAGTGGGTGAGGATATCAAGGGGAGTTTGGGAAAAAAGAAAGATGGTATTGAGAGGGACTGTAAGTCATAAGAAGGTCTTTTAGAGTGGGAGCACTTTGGGCATGTTTGTCAGCAGACAACCTGAGACTTCCAAGAAGAAGAAATTAAGAATACAGGAAAGAAGAGAAAGTAAGGTCTTGGAGTGGTGGGAAAGAATAAGGATCAAGGGTATAGACAGATGGATCAGTCTTAAGCCAGAAGGAGGCATGGCTTTTCTTAACAACTGTGTCCATCAGTGAATAGAGAAAGGGCTGAGTAGAGAAGAGCTTCAGAGTGCTGAAAGATTGGACTAGTCACAAAGATGGGAGAAAATAGATCAAGGAGAAGAGAATGGTTTGCAGGAAACATCAGGAGCCCAGCTATGCTCGGAGACTAGTTTGCCACTTTGCAAGAACTATGGTTTTCCTCTGTGGCTCTTAGCAACCTAGATATGGGATGAGAAAAGACAGTGTAAGAATTAAGGTTTTATACCAAGCTAATAGGGCAAGAATGGGGAAGTAGAGGGAGAGTATGTAAAGAAGTCAGTGGAGCTGGAGGGAGAGCACTTTACATCATTAACCACTAGATCTGGGCGGTGGGGGGGGAAGGAAGTAAGGCTGAAGGGTGGGAGAGACTGAAAGTTTGATATGCTAAAGAACTTTGTGGTGTAATAGTTGTAGTGGAGTTGGAAAGATGGGAGGTTGTGGTCGGGGAGTGGGATATTTAAAATTCTGAAGTGGATTTTTTTCTAAGTGATGGCAAGAACCAGACAGTGACCTGGGAAGTAGATACTTGAAGTTGAATAGAGGCGAAAGTCATTGGAGGCCTGTTAGTTGAATGGATTACCTCTGAGGGTTATGGCAGGAATTGGGATGAAACAGAAGGTAGTGAGCTTAAGTACCCAAAAGTCTTCATTTAACAAGGGGTAGAAACCCAGAGATCAGTAGACAACAGTACCAGGAAGAGCAGATGGTTGGGTACATGTTCAGCCTCTGAAGAACATGAGCTTTCATAGGAGGATGGTCTAGAAGTAGCAATGGGGATCCTTGAAAGTGCCACCTCGCCATGCCTACTCTGGCCTCCCCCAGCCCAGGGATGTGTGAGGTGTGAAAGAAGAAGACTCCATTAGCAAGGCCTGCAATGAAAAGAAGTGACTTCAGAGGAGAGAGCTTTCATGAAGGCTGAAACGGGGGAAGAAGTCTGTGGTGCCCCTTCCCCCACTTTAACCCCAGAGAGGTGGCAAAATGGAGTATATAAAGAGCTCTCATGTAGAGAGAGAACTGAGAGCCGACTCTAGCCTCAGCCCCCTGCCTTGAGAATTGGGTAAGTCATCTTATGTCTCAGGTCTTTCTCATACGCAAAATATTCCTCGTGTGCAAAGTGGAGATGATGACACCAAGCTGGTCTTTCCATAGGAATATTAAAAGGATCAAATGAAAGAAAGGACACGGAATCATTTTGGAAACTAAATCATTCCCCAGGTATGAGGGAAGTTACTGTTATTTTTACCTTCCCTAAGGCCCTATTTCTGATAGGAGTACTTCACGATAGGCTGCTTCTCGTGGCACTTGCCTCCAATAGTACTGTTGACTCCTAGGCATCTCCACTCTTCCTCTGGAACACATCATGAGTCTCTCTGCCTGGTCAAGTCTCCTTTGACCCTGAAGAAATCCTTAAGGCTATGAGAGGATTCTATTTGATTGACCCTCAAATTTTTTGTCTCAAAGAATGTAGATGTCAAGTCTGTCCTTCTCTTATTAATCCAGGATGATTAGGCATGAGCTTGTTAGTCCGACCTCTTGAGGATGTGCCTCACCTGCCTTAGTCATTCTCAGACTGAGACAATCAACCTTCCTTGAAGAGCATCTGGCAGCTGTACACATGAGGTAGTGGTGGGGAGAACCCTGGTTCAGGCCATCTGGAGAAATGGGAATAGAAGACAAAGACAGGGCACTAACTTGTCTCCTCTCTAGCTCTGTGGTCCTGGGTAAGTCGCTTCACTGCTCTGAGCCTCAGTTCCTGAGCCTACAGTGTGGGGATTCTTTATAATTTATTCAATAGTGTTCATTATATCAGACCACTTTTTCACCACTACCATCCTGGCACATGCTGCAGCTGTCCCTTGCCTGGATTATTATTTTTGGTGTTTGTTGTTATTTTTGTTTTGTTTGGTTTTGGCAGCTGACCAGTCCAGGGATAGAACCCTGGACCTTGGTGTTATTAGCACCATGCTCTAACCAACTGAGCTAACCAGCCAAACTGAATTATTATAATAGCTTCCTTTTTAACGTCTCCCTTGCTTCTATCCTTGCCCCCCTAAAGTCTGTTATCAATACAGACTGAGAGTGATTATTTTCATTGTAAGTTGGTTCATGTCACTCCTCTGCTCAAAACCTAACAATTTCACTCAGAAAAGCCAATGGTTTTCAGTGGCATACAAGATCCTCTATTATCTGCACCATCACTTCCCTCCTCCCCCTCAACACACACACACACCTCTCTCAGATATTATGTCTCACCACTTTCTCCCACATTCACCCTGCTTCAGCACATCAGCCCTCCTGCTAAACCTTTTTTTTTTTTTTTCCTTTTTGTCTTTTTTCGTGTCCGGCAACGGACCGCAACCCTCAGTGTCGCGCCCATACCGGACCGGGACCGGCAACGGGATCGCAACCCTCGGTGCTGCGCCCGCCCCTTGCTCAGCCAGTGAGCGGGAACCAGTCTGTATGTGGGATCCGAACCCTCGGCAGGAGGGCCACCACGCTCCCAAGCGGCGCACTGTAGCAGTGCACCACCGGGCCGGCCCAAACAATTTTTTTTTTCCTTTTTGTCTTTTTTCGTGACCAGCAACGGATCGCAACCCTCAGTGTCGCGCCCATACCGGACCGGGACCGGCAACGGGATCGCAACCCTCGGTGTTGCGCCTGCACCTCGCTCAGCCAGTGAGCGGCCGGTCTGTATGTGGGATCCGAACCCTCGGCGGGAGCGCCGCCACACTCCCAAGCGGCGCACTGTAGTGGTGCACCACCGGGCCGGCCCTAAACCTTAAACATGCCAATTGCTCTTCTGCCTCAGGTCTTTGTTCAAATGTCATCACTTCAGAGATATCCCTCCTGACTGCCATATAAATTAGCACATTCTCACCACCTGCCCTCATGGAGTTTATATTCTAATGGAAATAGACTAATAGACAAACACATAAATATATAATAGTATCATATATGGTAATTGTCTTAGTCTATTCAGGCTGCTACAACAAAGTACTGTAAACTGGGTGACATATAAACAACAGAAATTTATTTCTCACAATTCTGAAGGCTGGGAAGTCTAAGATCAAGGCACCAGTATATTTGGTGTCTGATGATGACCCACTTCCTGGTACATAGATGGTCGTCTTCTCACTATAACCTTACATGGGCAAAGGGGTGAGGGACCTCTCTCAGGCCTCTTTTATAAAAATACTCATTCATGAGGGCTGTGCCCCAAGGTCCCACCTACTAATACCATCACCCTGGGGGTTAGGATTTCAACATTCAAATTTGGGGGGACACAAATACTATTAATACACACACTATCATATATGTGTGTGTATATATGATTCCTAGCCCATGATCAGAGGAATTAGCTAAGATGGTCCAAGAAGGACACATTCATGCATATACATTCTCTCCCCATATCTTCTCTCTACTCTCCAGAGTCTCTGCAGTGGGTTTCTCTCTTAGCATCATAGTGGACTTTTAGGGAAGGGAGAAGTGACTGGCTCACAGAGCTACTTCCAACTTCCTGTCTACTGACACATCTAAAAAGCCATCAGGATTTCTATGGCTCTATTCACCCCTGCTTGCTCTAGCACACTTCTTCCCTGGTCTGGTCAATGCCTGACTACAAGCTTGGAAGACAATATGCTAGAATCTCTTCCCCAGAAAGCAAGGGCTGGGCTGGGCCAGGCCAGGCAAGGTGTGCTTTGACTTTTAGACTTGGGACCCACAATGAAGAAAAACCGGAAGAGATTCTTAGCTTTTGCAGGAGATAGAAAGTAGGCCCTCTACTTTCATAAGTGTATTTTAGCTCTACCACTAGGAGCTCGTGTGGCAGGGCATTTCCAGGTGCTGAGGATATAGACATGAGCAAGGCAAGGTCCTTGCCTCTGATCAGGGAGACACACACAAGTGACCATTATATATGATCATTCATTCACTTAACAAACATGTTTGAACATCTACTGTAGTGAACCAGGCACTCTTTTATGTGTTGGAGACATAGCACGGAACAAGATAGAGCTTACATTTTATAGGGAGGAGACAGATAATAAACATAAAATAAATGAATGCATGGAATTATTTTAGGTAGTGATATGCACTATGGAAAAAGAAAAAACTAGGGTAATTGGATTCAGAGTGACTTTGGGGGTAATTGAGTACTTTTAGGAGGAGATCAGGGAAGGCCTCTCTGAGGAATCGATATTTGAGATGAGACCCAAATGTTGAGAAGGAGTCAGGTATGAAAAGATCTGGAAAAAGAGCATTTGAGACAGGAAATCGCAAATCAAAGGATAAAAAGCTTGGCCTATTCAAGAAATAGGAAGAAGGCCAGTGTGTCTGAAGCATGGCGAGTAAGGGGCAGGTTGCAGGGAGAGTTTGAAGTGTAAAATGAGGCCAGAGGTAGGAAGGACCAGATGATGGAGTCCCTCGTAGACCATGGTAAGGAGTTCAGATTTCATTTCATGTGCAGTGGGAGGCCATTGCATTGAGTTTTTAGAGGAGATTGACATGATTCAATTACTGCTTTTTAAAGGTTCCTTTGGCTGTTTTATGGAGAACATGTTACTAGGGTAATGTGATGGGTGGAAATGTGTATAGAATGAGCTGTAACCAAGAGATACACTAAATGCTTTCTGAGACCATGTATTTCAGTATTAGACCAGAAAAGTTTCATAAGGGAGCTAGTCCTTGAAGCTAAGACCTGCTTAGCTAAGTTAAGAGTTTGCCAGAAGAAAAGGAGAAATAGAAGGGAAAGAAGGAGGCACAATCCAGGCAAAGGTAAGAGATCTGTGGCAGGTGATGATCAAAACAAGAGATCCCAAATAGCATGGGGGAAATGGGAGGAGCTATATTTCTGCCAAGATTGAAATAAATGCTCTAAGCAGAGGATTAAATTAACATTGAGATTCCAGGCAGCCAAAGCAAAAACTGTCTTTTTGCCTTAGTGTATCTGGCTATAGCAAGGTCAGCTATTCTCCAGGCCTTGGAAGAGGACTACCACTTTTTTTTCTCCCTATGCCCCAAAGATTTGATTCTAGTTTACCTAGCTACCAGAAATGTTCCCCAGAGCCAAGGCAAAAGCAGCCCCACCCACAGCCCCCCACTGAACCCAAGTAGTCCTCTTTCCTCATTGGTACCACTGTCTCAGGTGTAGGCTCAATCACAGCCTCAATGCACAGTTCCTTCTGACCATTTCCAGAAATCAGTTCTACCCTTGAAAAACAAAGATTCGACTTTCCCTTTGTGGAAAAACTCTCCTCCCCAGGCTTCCTCCAGTTCCTCTACTCATGCTCTAGCACCATTGTGAGCATTGCCTGTAAGGCCATGGAGATGTGCCAAGGTAGAACGGTGGGGTTTAGAAACTAGTCCCCACCCATTATGGTAGGTGCCCTCTTATACTGCAGGGTCGGATCGATACCTGGAAAGCCGAGATGCCTCTCGACTGAGTGGCCAGGACCCCTCCTCTTGGACAGTCGAGGACGTGATGCAGTTTATCCGGGAAGCTGATCCTCAGCTTGGACCCCACGCTGACCTCTTTCGCAAACACGTAGGTGTACCTGCCTGATCTTTCCCATGTTCATTGGGAGTTTTGCTTCTGTACCTTGTAGACTCTTAAAGGGCATGGGCTATATATTTGTTCCACGTCTCCTAAAACTGAAAAGAAGAGACACTGTAAAAATTTAGAAACAGAATCTTGGGTCTCAAACAGACTTCACTGGGCACTATATTCAACTCACTCTTTTAGTATAGAATCTGATTCAGCCACATTCCTCTTGGTTTTGTGGCCTGGGGGCTCCGTTGCAGGGACAGGGATCTCAACCTCTCTTCCCAGGAGTGCTTGCTCTCTCATCTGCCTGCCTTGCCATGAGAATCAGGAGTCTCAGCGCAAGTGAAAGAGCCCCTTGCCAAGTGACTCCCACCTCTCCAATCTCATCAGTCCCCCTCATCTACTTGCCCTACCATGAGCCTCTAACATGTCTTCAAGTGACCATTTGTCTCCACGGCTCAGGGATTGCTCCTGATCACCTGTTGTGGCCATGCTCCTGATTTGGGGCTCAAACCTGCGTCCTGGTAACCCCTGCTGTTTGGTGCTATTCTCCCCATGAGCACTCAGAACAAGTCTGCTACCTTTCATTGATCATTTCAGTCTTTCACACCAGATGGGTTTGTAGGGGGGCATTTAGACCAGGTCTGAAGATCTCACAGCTGCTCAGGAAGTGCCCACTTTGTGCCTAGCTCACACAGAGGGGTCTCTGCTGCTCAGGAAAGATGATGACTCAGAATAACAGTTGAGAGTCAAAAAACAGCCTGTGACAATATAAAAACAGCTATACTGACTGGGGAGGCTTCCTGGAAGAGGCAGAGTTGAGCTGGTTCTCAGATGTTTGAGAGGGTGGGGAAACTGCCTCTCCGGCAGAGAAAGGAAAATGGTACAAATGTGTGAAGAGCCTAACCTGGTGGGTTCAGCATTAGATGTCTGGGGAAGAGGGATGCTTAGGGACAAAAGGTGAGGCAAATAGGTAGGCCTCAGTGTCACAGCAGGTTGAATGGACTCCATGTGGTTGGCACATCCATGGGTGGCCTTTAATCAGAACCTGGGGTGGTTGGACCAGCCAGGCCTCTGATGGCACCTCCCCCTCCACTTCTGCCCACCTCCCACTCCCCCAGGAGATCGATGGCAAGGCCCTGCTTCTGCTGCGCAGTGACGTGATGATGAAGTACATGGGTCTGAAGCTGGGGCCCGCACTCAAACTCTGCTACCACATTGACCGGCTGAAGCAGGGCAAGTTCTGAATGGGGAGACACAGCCTAGACAACTGAGCAGTCAAGCGGATGGGGGCATTCTTCTCCCAGAAAGGAGGGCCAGGCGCCTCAGATTTCTGGGCCACCTCAGGACTCCAGGAGGCTATGTGGAGCTGCCCCTACTACCCCTTCCTGCCATGATATGTCCTTCCATGAAGGACTGAGGAAGGGAGAGTGTGGGGCCCAGGGCTGGCGCTGCTCTTTCCCTCAGCCCTGCCGCAGCTCTGAGGTCCCCCTCTATTTATTTCTCAAGCCTGGCCAGCTTCTCACTAGGATTTCAGACTGAATACCTTCCAGGTGATGGAGAACATGGCTAGCTAGCCCTGGGCCTTGGAAGACAGAGCCCAAACTGATACTTCTGCCCAGTCCCCTCACCACCTCCTGGGTTTGGTGTGGCACCCCATTGCCCCACAGCTTCTGCCTTCTCACCAGATGCCCAGACTCCAAACTCATGGTGCAAACTTCTACCTTTTTTAAAAAAAGATCTTTTCTTATTGTTAATTTATTGTTTCTGGCACTTGGGCAAACCCTCTAATTAATACTCCTCTCACACCAGACAGTGGGTTTCAGGAGGAGGGAGACTGCCCTGCCCTGGTCCCAGAGAGGCCCTCTCCAGATAGGTGTGGCCCCTTTTAAGAGGACACTACCCTAGAGCACTTCCTCTTTGGAATGGACAGACCACATCACTCAGCAGAGGGAGGAAGGCATCCCTGTCACTTTCCTCTCTCTTTCCCACTAGGCTCTTTTGCAGCCCGGACTTCATCTGTAAGAATGGGAGTCCCCAGCACAGCTCGTTGCCCTAGCCAGAACTGCTGCCGAAGAAGATTGGGCCCAATGATTTTAGGCCAAGAATGCCCTAAGGTAGATGGGAGGGAAGGGTCTCCAGGTCGGAGTTGGTTCTACGCACTCCACTGTCCATATGCTTCCTTATAAGCAAGTCAGCAGGACAGCTGCTCCCACTGCCATCTGGTCTTATTTTATGTTGATTTGTTTATAAATAAAAACCAGTATAGATGCCAGTATGTTTTTTATCAGGTGACAGCCAAATCACTGTGCATTCAACGAGCAGGTCACACCCCTTCTCTTGGTCTTAGTTTTCCCATATATAAAATGTGGAGCTTGGACAAGATGATCCCTAAGAGTCCTTCTAATTCGAGCAATTGCTGAAGAACAGGCTATCTTCCAGATTCCCACTGGGGCCCCAGAATGATGTAGGACCCCTGGAAAAACATCACATCAATCCAGTCCCTGCCCTCAGAGGGCTTCCCTCTGATGCAGCTAGAAAGCAGTGAGTGCAGCAGCTATGCAAAGCCACAGTGGAAAGGAGCAGTATTAGGGTCAGCAACTCCAAGAAGCTCAGTGTCTGGGTTCGTCCTCATCCTCGTGGCATGAAGAGAGATGTAGGCCAGCCCAGCCAGGTCTGCACTGTGCCCCGTGCACTGGCCAGGGGCCAGGCACTCAAGTCCAGGGCCACACATCCCTGTGTATACTGAGGGTGTGGGGTTCACAGGAGGAGGAGGAAAAGGTATAGGGGGCACCTGATAATAATAACTAACACTTCTGTATCACTTACTATGAGCCACATGAACTGCTCTACATGAATGAGAATTATCTCAATTAATCTTTGCAACAAACCCATTTTATAGATGAGGAAACTTAAACTCAGGTCACACAGGCAAGAAGTGCCAAAGAATGCATTTGAAGAGAAGTAATCTGTAAGGCCAAGGTTCTAGCCAGCCCACCTTCTTGCCATGAAGCTTTGGGTAGGTCATTTCCCTTCTTTGGGCCAATCTGACTATGGGGGGCTTAGAAAAGGAGACTTCCGAGGGTCCTGCCAGCTCTCACCAGTGACTAGTTCTGATATCATGACTAACTTATATCTTTTCCACTTGATCATTGTAGGGTTCTAACCACAGTTACCATGAAACAGTCAGGGTCAAGGCTGCCACCAGAAGAGGTCCCCATCTTCCATAGACTTCTGGACATTGGGGTCTGATAGGCAGTGCTGTTCACACAGGGTACTCCCAAAGAGGACTTTACTGAACCCTAACAACGAACTTCTGGATGCTTCTAAGCCAAGAGACACAGGGACTGAAGGTAACACTGGTGTATATAGTTAGACCAGACATACTGCAAGACCAGACCTGTGGAGCAAAATGACACCCACCCACCTTACCCTCTTGTCAGCAAGAGTATATTACTTACTAATGAACATTTTTTTTGAGGGTTTATTGTGCTGAATTGTTTACGTACATTATCTTGTTTAAACCTCACAACAACCCTATAGGATAACTATTATATTCCCCCATTTTACAGGTGGGGAAACTAAAGTTTAGAGAGGTTAAGTTACTCACCCAAAACTACATAGCTAATAAGGGGTGCAGTATATCATACTGCCTGCAACTTCTGTCAGGGGGCCTTTGTCTTAGATCCAACTAACCATTCAGACTGAAGACTTCCACAGGCTACACTGGGCATGGCACTCACTTTAAGGCTGTCAGACATGAAACGGCATGCCAGCAGGACAGCATAAAGCAGTCCTCTTCAGTGGGGGAGGGTAGGCATCAGGACCTATTCTCCTTGGTTGCCCAGGCACAAGGGAATGAGACATATCAGGGAGAAGTTGGGTTCACCTTGGCTTAGAAGCATCATGCCCCAAGGGAGCTATCTTTTTGAACAACTCCATAAGCACAGATAGCTTCTAGGGTCCCTGCAGGGGACATGCCCAGTTGAGTCACTGCACTCAGGAAGCCCAAATGGCTTTTTTTTTTTTTTAAGATGACTGGATCTTAACCCTTGACTTGGTGTTGTCAGCACCACACTCTCCCAAGTGACCTAACTGGCCATCCCTATATAGGGATCTGAACCCGTGACCTTGGTGTTATCAGCACCATACTCCCAAGTGAGCTATGGGCCAGCCCCTTCAAATGGCTTTTTAGCAAGTGTTTATAGTTCATACATAGAACTCCAAGTCAAGATAATTTACAATTAGGGGTCATTTTTACCATAAGTAATGTTGCCTTGAAACAATTAATGTTCCACTTTTATCTGGTTTCCAGGAGAATAGAAAGGTAACCAAATGTCAAGTCCTGCAGGAAGAGAGAGGATTTGTTAATCCCTTACCCATACTGCTCTAGCCTTTGGGTCAGAATTTAATGTTTTTAAGAAAAACAAAAACATAAAAATCCTCAACTTTTGAAATTCTTTCACAAAACCAAGTCTTCTACTAGTGAGCCAGTCATCAAAAGCAGTTAAAGTGGCCTCAGGCAGGCCCAGTGCACACATGCTGCAATGCAGGAGAGACCACTCCATGGACCTAGCAGCCCATGACATATGGAAAGGCATATGGAGAAGCGGGATTGGGGGACAGAGGCTACATGGCATCAGCTTCATGTGCCCACTCGGCACCGTGACAGGGAGGTGACACTGACTACGTGCTGAGGAGATCAGGAGGAACACGCCAAGCACTTTAGGAGATAACAAGTGAGTCTAGGCTCCATTTAGGGCTGAATCCAAGGAAGGATGAGGAATTTTTCTGGAACCCTGTGCCCCCTCTCCTCTTTGGCTCCTTCCTGCCTGCTGGCCATGCAGTCCATGTCATCACTTCACTCTAGCTCCATTGTCGAGGCTGTCAGTCCTGAGCAAGAGGGTCTGCAGCACTCCTCATTGACATCTTTGTGCAGCTCACTGAGATCCTTCTCTGGGATGTGGCACTGGGGGCCAAGTGGACACTGTTCCTGAGATGCCACAGTCCCTCATTGGGAAAAGCCAGAAGGTGATTTGCCCTCTTTGTTATGACCAAAGCCAAAAAAAGCCAGACACTCCACTCATGCCAGCCCTCAGCTGTTTGCAGCCTTTACCCAAATACTCACCCCAAGTCACTGGATCTGGTCTTGCCACCATGCTCCATCAGGGAAGCTCCACAGCTTCAAACCTCCAGCCTAGAGACAATCACAGCCGGGACAGCCAGGCACCACAATTGTGCATTTGTATCTGTGATACTAAAGCCATGCAGATGCTCATAGAGGCCAGCAACCAGCAATGCCCCAGGTACAGACACTAGGCCGGAGCCACTCGAGTCACAAAGATACCCTGTGGGTGGTTGGGTCTGGCCCCTGTCAAAAGTCAGGGGAATCTATGGGCAGTCGGTGGTATGCTAGAGGAGAGCTCACAACCGCAGCAGGACTGACCTGGGTCCCAGGACCTCAAAGGCTGTGTCCATCAACTCTCCTCCCCAGTTTGTCTTCTTAGCATCCTTGTCCTCCCATATATGGCTGAGCCCATTCCCCTTCCCTGTCCCTCTGCCCCTTGCCTGGCCTCCCTGGGCAATGAGCACTATGATATGACTATGATATGGGAGTGGGGGGGGGGAAGAGGGGAGTTAGACACTGCTCCCTGATGTGGTTTCAGGGATCATGGCATGTGGGCCATCAAGTGGACATGTTCCAGATGACATGGAAAGAGGCATTCCACAGCATCTCTCTGCCCCTCATCTTTGGGCCCACCCTCACATTCATAAAAGACTTTAAATTCGAAAGTTTTTGCCTTCAATGCCAAATGAGGTTTGTAAGTAAGGTCACAGACATCTGGCGAGATTACAAGGGGCTGCCTTGTCCCACAACTCTGAATTCATGGCTGCCACCTTCCTGGGCTGCCTGCAAAGCACCTGTACTTTATTTATTTATTTATTTGTCAGTTTGCCAATAAGGGGATCCAAACCCTTGGCCTTGGTGTTATCAGCACCACACTCTAATCAAGTGAGCTAACTGGCCAGCCCAACACCTATACTTCCTAATACTGTTAGAAAGCCTGAGGTGCTATAAATAGCCCTATTACATTGCAATGCATTTCTGTATTTAAAAGATGATTTTGTAAGTATATTTAGTGCTTATGATGAAAGACAATTTTTACTCCTACCATGAGAAAGAAGTGAAATTGATGTTCACCTCACATGAGGCTGTTTGTTAAAGGCTCCAGAGAAATATGAGATACAGTGGCTTAAAGAGATTACCAGTAAGCGTGGGGGAAGTTTTGGCACTCAAATCAGTTTGGAAAAGTTCATGCAGAGCAGACACGTGACAGCAAGGCCTCTAAATAAGTAGAGGATGCCTGTGGTTGTGTTCACGTGTTTCCTCTGTCAGGGCGCCTCTCCTGCCTACAATTCGGCATGACTTGACTCAAACCACTTCAAAACAGCTGCAGCCTCAGCTGTCCAGCTGCTACGAGAGCTTCTGATGGATGGCAGAATCAAGAAAGGCTCGAGGGAGCAGAGGGGAAGCATGGATCACTTAAGGCCATAGTTCCATAATTCTCAGAGCTGAGTCAGACCTGGAGTGGTGGCGGGGAACAAGGGGAGGGCACCTGGCAGTCTCCCCCAGAGCCTCGCACTGCCATCATCTGGTGCCTGGGGCCTTGTCCCATACTGTAGTCTCTGCTCGAGTTCCCCGCCCAAATTTCTGCCTCACTTCCTACAGGAAACAAAAATTCAGTAACATCTTCAGAATGGCTGCTCACAAAGAAGGCAGGCTTCTCTATGCTGTCAAACAGCTTCCTCGCTCCCCCCAACCAGGGCCTCCAGAAGCAGTGTGGGAAAATGCTGCCTCCCATCTGCATAATGAAAACCACTTACCAAAGTCCCCCACCTACCCAAGAACAGATTTCTGTACTAATAAAGGATGTAACACCCACGTCTTTGTTCCTGTCAAACAGCAGGTAACAACCTTGTCCTTCAGAAGAGATGGCAATGCTTGGCCTATTTTTCAGGGTTCTTCTGGACAGCAACTTCCATCTGTAGCATAGATAAGATAGATAAGATCCTGATGTTGGGGAGCCCTGGGACCCACCACCACCATGTGTGTTCAGATCCATCCTAAGAACAGCTGGGCTGTTAGTGCTCAGTGGAACCTGAGATTGGTGACCAAAAAGGGAGATGGAGGCTTCAGGCAGTGGGCTGAAAGAGGTGGCAACTTGTGGCCTTTGTGGGCACTGGGGCTTGGAGAGACATTACAGAGGGAGGATATGTATCTTCAGCCACTGGATTCTGAAAGTTTCCCAGAGGGAGTCCCATGGCCAAGTTGCATGGTGGTTGGGTTGCTGTCTCTGCTTACAGTGTGTGGTGGGGTCCACAGGAAGTGGGAGAGGACCCCACCACAACCCTGCCTGCCTAAGGCTGGCCAAGAAGGCATTGTTGACCCTCATGAGATCACAGTGGTAGTTTTGCAGGCCCCGCCCACTTCCTATAACCTTGGTTCTTGCTGCCTTTGTGCCAAGCCCCTAAGTCCCCTGGGAGCTGCTAGCTAGGGGTCAAGGGGCTGTGAGAGCTTGGGGCTGGCACGTCCCATGTTCCTCCAGGAGCCATCAGGACATGAAGGTCATAGGTCTCCCTTTTCTTCCTATTCTTGTTTGCCCTGAATGTCCCCACCCCAGTTGTGGTGGCCCCCAGGCTCTGACTGCCTTGAGAATCCAGTCTGAAAAGATGCAGGCTGGTGGTACCTACCACCCAAACTGGAGGCTGGGTGTGTGGGGGTGAGTGGAGGGCCTGGCACATGTACATATGGGCACAGCTCAGGAGTGAGGCGCCCTGGCCTGGTGGGAGTGCAAGGGCCCAGCTCTAATACTCATTCTGCGCCTCCTCACTTCTGCTCTCTGGACCAAAGATGCAGGACTCAGTCTAGACTCAGGAGTACTTACTCAGGGCCCAAGAGCTTCCTCAAATGATATGCATATACACGAAGGCCATTTTTTCTGGGGAGGAGCCATAGCTTTTGTCAGAGTGCCACAAAGAACCTCTGCTCTAAAACTCACTGACCCAACCCTGACTAGTTTCAGAGCCCCTGCTGATCTCACACGGGCTTTAGTAGAGGAAGAGAGAAGCAGCAATGGGGCCACTGGCCAGTCCTCAGAATCCTGAGTTACGGCCTCTTCTCCAAAAGGCCCTCATTCAAGGTTTTTCTGCTGGCTGGTGGCAGTAATAATCTTACAGTGCGTAGGAAGCCCTAAGGGCACCTGGGAGTCCCTAGCCTGTGGACTGGGGAGAGAGGACAGGACCCCTGGGGCCACTGAAAGAGAGTCCAGAGTTCTGGTTTCTTCTGCCCCATTTTGGGCAAATCCCTTCAGTCTTCCCACAGGCTCTGTTGTCAGGCTCAGTACTACCTGACTCCTCTTTCCTGTCCTAGGCCTCAGGCAAGTGGCAGGCCCCTTCCTGCTGTCCCTCTGCCCTCCCTCCCTCTTTCTGGCCCTGCCCAGCTCTGCCAATCTGTGAGCCTCCTAGAAGCTTTGGTCCCCCTAAATCCCCTTGAAGGCCCTGGGCCAAGTGGAGGGTCCAGGGCCCTGGGAGGAGCAGCCAGCAGTAAGGAATCCTGGAATCCTTTCCGAGGAAGACTCTTCCCTTGTCCCCCAGGAAGAGTAGCACAAACACAGGTGGAGTCCCTCATGGAGCCCCCAGGCAAGCAGCCCCCACCAGAGCTTTCCCCAGAAGAGTCCCTGCCTGAGGACTCGGGCCTCGAGGAGGCTCCCAGCATGCACACCCTCTATGTGGGCCACCTGAACCCCCAGTTTTCAGTGCCCGTGCTCACCTGCCTGCTGCGAGACACCCTGGAGCGGCTAGAGCTGCCGGTGGCACGGGAGCACATCGAGGTGGTGAGGCGGCCACAGAAAGCCTATGCATTGGTACAGGTGGCCACCCACAAGGCCACCCTGGCCTCCCTCCCTTGGCGCCTGCACAAGGCCTTGGAGGAGCACCTGATCCTCAAGGAGCTTGCAGCCCGGGGGAAGGAGCTGGTGTTGAGAGAGAAGTTAAACCACAGAGAGGTAAGTGGGACATTCCCCAAACAATCCCCAAAGCCTCACGGGGATGAGGGGTGGGGAAGGGAGGCGAGACCTGGGTGTGGATGGCCTGCAGAGTGGAGAGAGGGATGTCCTTGAGGAGCCAGGGACAAACCTGCAGACTCGGAGGCTGCTACTCAAATGACCAGGGCCTGAAGCTGGTACTATGCCTTTCACTGGGAGGGACACTGACTTTTACAGTTTGCCTCCAGCCTGGAAGCTTGTGTGAAGGCTGAAAGGCAGGACTCCTCCCTGGGTCCTTTTGCACTACAGCCTCTGGGCTTGGGAGGTTATAGGATACACAGGGGTTGGTGACCACTAAGGCCCACTCTGCCAGGAGTAAGGCAGAAACTAAAGACCCGGGTCCTGCCCTCAAGGAGCCCCTCTTCTGTGAGCACAGCCAAACACAGCGGTCACAAAGTGGTGAGGTGGCTGTGCTCAGAGCTGTGGGAGGGCCCAGCAGGGCCCTACTGCTCTCTGGGGACAAATTTTCAGGAGAAATGAAATCCAGGCACTAGGGAGGACATCCAGGGAGAAGGACACAGCATAGGCCAAAAAACGGGGGTGAAGGGGATTATTTCATTGCAGAAGGGCAAGCTATTTGGTATCCCTGGAGCTCAGGCTGAAGGCTGCAGGGGGTACTGAGGAAGGAAGCTACGCCAGAGGATAGGGGCTAGGTCACCAAGGGCTGTAGACCAAGGCAGACCAGGGCTAAAAGGCTGGAAGGTAACTCCGTGAGACTGGTCATCTTGGTTTTTCTTTTTCTTTTGAGAAAAACCCATGGTGTTTAAACTTGCAGAACAAAATAGCTCTGTGACTTACATTTCAACACGTGATTTCATGTCTCTAACAGTTCTATCCTGTTTCTGAGATCGACACATTTGCCTTCTCTGGGGAGCTGCAGGGCTTGTATGGATGTGCCCTCATCTCTGTGCCCAGTCACCCTGAGCTCCCAGCAGCAGGGAGCCAGGAAAGGGTTGGGGGGGAGGGTGACAATCTGGCATGTATTTAGGGTCAGTGAGGAGGATGGATGAGAAGAGAAGAGCCTATAGGCAGGGAGACCAGTGAGGGGCTGACTGACGAGGCCCAGACTAGGAAAGTGGCCATGAGGATACTCAGGCCCAAAACCCTTGAACAGAGGAGGATCTGTGGAAGTGGACTCAGAAGGGGCAGAGGAAAGTTGAGATTCAGAAGGACTTGTCAGTAGTCGAAAAAGTGATAGGCAAGGGATTCAGGAAGATCAGAAGGGATCTCTGGGTGCCCCTGTCAATTCAGGGACCTGCAGCTCTATCACAGGGGACCTCAGGGTGCTGAGGTACCTCCTGGAGTGATTCCATCCTGGGCCTCAAGGGACTATCTGTAACCCAAGTGGAAAAAGACACCCACAGGTGTCCCAACATCCAGCCCTGGGAAGAAGAAATCTCCCTTTGTCCACCCAGGCATCCCACAACCCCTCTAGGAAAGAGCCCAGCCCACTGGAGAAGGAGCAGTACTATGAACTCTTGTTCCAGCAGGATAAAGCAGTAGCTGCAGAAGGGTGGGCAGAATTGGACCCCTCATCCTGGGAGGAGGCATCAGGATGCCCATGGGGGCTGGACCCCAGGCAGGAGTGCAGTTGGAGGTTCTGCCAATCTGTCTCTCAAGGTCAGGCTTCTGCCTGAGCCCATACGCCCCACTTTGACCCCTACCCCAGCAGGAAGAGGACAGTGGCCCCAGCCCTGGGTCTGGCCTCCCCCAGCCTGCCTGGCCTGCAGACCCCTTGCCTAACCGGCTCCAGACCCAGCGGTGGCAGAACTCCCGGAGCCGGCCCAGTGGTGTGTGCTCTGACAGTGCCATTGTGCACCAGGAGATTGTGGGCCTGGAGCGGCTCTTCCAGGGAGCCTTCCTGGGCAGTGAGACACGCAACATGGAGTTCAAGCGGGGCAGTGGCGAGTACTTGAGCCTGGCCTTCAAGCACCATGTGCGGCGCTACGTGTGCGCCTTCCTCAACAGCGACGGCGGCAGCCTGCTGGTGGGCATTGAGGACAGTGGCCTAGTGCAGGGCATCCGCTGCAGCCACCGTGATGAGGACCGCACGCGCCTGCTGGTGGACTCCATCCTGCAGGGCTTCAAGCCCCAGGTCTTTCCCAATGCCTACACCCTCACCTTCATCCCTGTGATCAGCACCTCCACGGCCGGCGTCTCCCTCAAGGTGGGCCTGTGGGACAGGAAGGCCTCTGGGTCTGCTTTGTCATCCATCATCACTCAGCAAGACAACGGCCCCTGCTACTATACCCAGCAGTGCTGGGGTGGGGAGCAATGGAGTGGGGGGCTGGGGGTGGCCCCTGCACCCAGCTCCATCAGCCTGCCGTGAGGAGCAACCTGGGTGGGCGTGGGGGCTGCCAACTGTCAGGGGCAGCACCTGCCAAAGCCTCTGTTGCCCTTCCAAAGGTGATCCGCCTGACAGTGCACACCCCCAAGGCCCAGAGCCAGCCACAGCTCTACCAGACGGACCAAGGGGAGGTATTCCTGCGGCGTGAGGGGAGCATCCAGGGCCCACTGTCGGCCAGCGCCATCCAGGAGTGGTGCCTGCAGGTAAGGAGGCTGAGGTCCCAGCCCTTCAGCCACTCACTGAGCAGCCCTGGCAAGCCTCACGTTTCCCTGGGCCCCAAATCACCCTATGAGTAATCGGAAGGGCGTGGACTAAAATAACCTGGTGGGAGGGAGAGGCCCAAGCACCCTCCTGTTAGAGATCTATATCCCACCTTCCAAGCTGCCTGAAACCCACCCCCAGCCCACCTACCCCCTACTGCCCCCCCCA